TTTTTTTTTTTTTTTTTTTTTTTAAAGGTATTTTGGTGCAAGTTTCCATGTAGATCAATGGTCAATTGTGAAGCTTAAGCTAAATTCAAATAAGCTCTTCTTGCACCTAATTATGTGTGGCTATAGGAGATGCACACCACTTTAACTAAAACGGTGTAAGTCTGAATGTTTACAGGCACTCCAAAATAAACATTTTCCCCTCACACATTCTTCCCTTGCTCGGTACCAATATGATACCACAAATCTTCTACTCCCCACTCTTTCATATAGGCTTCTGGGAAAAATAAGTGTGCTGCTTCAGTCTAAGTCCTGGCCCCTTTTGAACTCTAGCAGTGACCTCTTAAACTACAAAGATATGGACATTTTTGGCTAGTTGTGGAGAAGGGTGGCCATAAGAGTAGTGCTTTCTTAATTATTTGCATTTTAACACTTATGTATTTAAAAAAAATATTACTGTTAGCCAAATCTTGAGTCTTAATTGGTTTGTCCCACACCTCTCCACTACATACTCAGTCCCTTTTGTCTTCAGTTGCATTTTATTTGGTAAACCAATTTGGTCACTTAGTGCTCTTGTACTGCTGTAGGTTTGATGTTCACCAGAGGTAGAAAAGTGCAGCTCTGTGCCTAGGGTAATACCAGCTCCTGCCATGCCAACTGTGGCAGTGTGATCAGCCACCACTGTGACAATGGCTATTTCTGTACCCCCCTGACAAAGGTGACTCCCAGAACTGCTGCTCTGGTCATGCCCTGCACCTGCCTCCTCCTCCATACCTCCCCCCAGCAAAACTGGCCACGGTTATTCTACTAGTATTCATCACTGCAGCATCTGGACACTCCATAATTTGTACTCTAAACACATACACAACCTTCAAAAGAGTTACCGACTCTCCATCCCAACTCTCCTAACACTTACGATCTCTCCCAGACTAAAGCCTCAGTAATTACCTGAAAAACATTTACTGGATTCTGCAGGGTGGGGGGGATTGGTTTAAAGAGAAGTGATCCAAAGAACTTCAGAGACTCTTTGTTGAGAACTTCCAGACTCCCCAACATTCAAGAGTGACCAGGGAAGGCATTTTTTCCATTACTAATGAGGCACCAAGAAAGAAACACTGCTAAGGGTAGTCTGTACTCAAAAACAGCCTCAGTTCAGCACTCTGTAAAATATAAAACTGCTATTGCCGAAGCCCATTAAGGGCCTAACAACATTTATGCTGACTGAAATAGCAGTTCTGCCCCTTCC